TTACTAATCGGCTCTTGTGAGCGGCAGAGACAGGTCCAGCTCTCCCTGGCACAGCAGAGAACCAGGCCCAGGTCCTGCTGGATAGAGGTTGTGGTTCTTCGAGCAGCTTCCAGGTGGCTGCACGTAGCCGTGAATCACACTCCATGAGGAACCGACAGCATTCCTAGAAACCCTGTTCACAAGCAGTCCGTGCAACACCTCTGGTTTTTCACACCCCCTCGTTCTTATTTTTATTTTTTAACTCAGAAAATCCATCCTTCCTCAACCAGTCATTTAAGACACTTCGGGAAAACAAGTGTAAATCCTGACTTCAAAAAACCTGGAAACCCTGAGAGCACAGGTTTCAGAGTCATACAGCATCACTGCCTCCTGGCTGTAGGGCCTTGGGCAAATCACTCAACCTCGCTGAACTTCTGTTTCTTAATCCACAAAACGGGTAAGATGTATCCCCCAGGCCAGAGCTGTTCTGATCATCAGAGGAGACCACCCATGCTGGGGCACAGCACCGTCTGGCACCCATGAGCCTTTGCTCCAGAGCTACAGCAGAGAACATGACAGGCTGTCCAAAGGCAAGGTCACTCCCTGCCTTGGACATAACCTGCAGGGCTTCCTGGCAGGATGCCTGGGTGCTGGGGGACTCTGTGCAGATGGCCTTGATGTGAAGGGTCCCTCTCACCCTGCAGCCTTGACAAAAGCAGGTGTTGATGTGATAGCACAAAAAACTAGGAGTTCATCTGGAGAAGGTGGGTTGTGAGTTCTGGAGTAAATCATTGACTGGTGCTTGTTCAAGTGCATGGAAATTGAGCAGTGGAGGTGGTCTGGGGAATTGACAACCTGCTATTTTAAATTATATAGAAGAAACCAGGAATGCCATATGCTGCCTCAAAAACAAAACAACACCCTTCAAAAGAGGACTGGATTTTTAAAATGTACATATACACGATGGAATATTACGCAACCATAAAGGACAAAATCATGAACTTCACAGCAACTTGGACAGACTTAGAGGCTATAATACTGAGTGATCTATCACAGAAACAAAGAACCGAGTATCACATCTTCTCACTCATAAGCGGACCTTAAGCAAGTATGGTAGTACTATAAGAAAGGGATTGGCAGTAGTGGGAAACTGCCAGGAGAAGGGGGTCACACCTCATCAACGAGGGAACCTGCATAATGAACATTTGTATACCTAGCCCTGAATTGTACCCCACATATTTAAAGTTAAAATTTAATTAAAAAAATAAAAACAATAAACCCCCACCACACAACACACCATATGGGCAGAGACCAGGGAAGAAGGAGAAGAAAAGAGGCATTCGCAAGAATTTTTAAACTAAAGTTTCTAAAGCCACACTTGTTGGTAACTGACCCAAGCTCCATGCATGTTCTAGCGTGAGCACAGCTGAGAGTCCGCTTTTCCTATGAGCCTTCTCTGTTTGTTTTTCCTTTACCTGTTTCCTTGTAGTTACCAGCAGCAACTCCTGAGAAAACCTTGACCTTGCTTAAGATAGAGCAGGCCTGCTAAGTGGAGAGGACCAATCCTGACCTTCCAACTAAAGCCACCCTAAGTCAACAAGCTTAAAAAAAAACTTTTTTTTCATTTTTGAACCCAAAGAACTGACTGCAGTCTTTGCTGCATTTACACATTGAACACGGTCCCCTTTCGAGACCTTGTCATTAGGGCTGTGGGGCTACAAGTGACAGAAGTCAGCCCCAACCGGCCCCCCAGAACTGAGCAGTTCAGCGCACAGCCTGAGCTAGAGCCCATGACCAGCGGCTCTAGCTGCATGTTCTCCACAATAGCCAAGAGGCAGAAGCAGCCCATGTATCCAGGGACAGGTGAACGGGTGGGTACACAGAACGTGGGATACAATGGCCTATTGTTCAACCTTTAAAAGGAGGGAGCCGGGCTCGGTGGCTCAGCCTGTAATCCCGGCACTTTGGGAGGCCGAGGTGAGTGGTTTGCCTGAGCCCGCAGGTTCGAGACCCTCATGGGCAACTTGGTGAGACCTCATCTCTACAATAAATCAAAAAAATTAGCCGGGCATGGTAGCGCGCACCTGTAGTTCCAGCTACTTGGAAGGCTGAGGCAGAAGGATCGCCGGAGCCCAGCAGGTTGAGGCTGTAGTGATCGGGAGCGGCCATTGCACTCCAGTCTGGGTGACAGAGTGAGACCCCAACTCAAAAAAAAAAAAAAAAAGGAGGGAACTTCAACACATGCAACAATACGAATAAACCTTGAGGACATTCTGCTAAGTGAAATCAGGCAGTCACAAAAAGGCACATGTTGTGTGATCCCACTTATATGAGGTACCAAGAGCAGTCAAATTCATGAGAAGGGGCATGGTGGTTAGCAGGGGCTCAGGGGAGAGGAAGGGGGAGCTATTTCATGGGAATAGGGCTTAACTTTTGCAAGAGGAAAACGTTCTGGAGATCTGATTCACAGCATTTTGAATATGCTGGACACCACTGCGCTGTACACTTAAAAATGGTTAAGATGGTAAATTTGATGTTATGTGATTTTTGCAATTAAAAAAGAAAAAGTAAAACCCAGAGTCCCCATATGCATGCCTGGGCACCACTGCCGTGGGCCTGGCTGCACCCTCAAGTCCCAGCTCCTCCGTAGCTAGGGTTCCTGGGGGGGGGGGGGTCCAGCTTAACCTCCTGGGTTCTGATTGGATTGTATGCCCCACCTCTGGCCAATCACTATAGCCAGTGAGTGTGATTGATTGAGTGCTTAGCCCCACCCACAACAATGAGCCCAGAGAGGGAGGGAGATGACCCAGAATGTCTAAGAGATGCTGAGCGAGTTCTGGCTTGGCCACTACGAAAGTGGAGCCCCTGAGGCGGGAGACACGACTGCCCCCTCCAGCACCTTGCACTTAGCTGGCAGTGAGTCCCCTTTACCTAAGAGGCCCCCAATGACACAGCACGAAAGCGGGTTCCTCCACCGTAACCAGTCATCTCTAGATTTGTGTCCTGGAAGGCCAGGGTAAGATGCGTTGAAATTTGTCCCTCTCACCTTCAGCCCACTCATTCTCAGCCTGTAATCCCGTGCCTTTGGGAGGCTGAAGTGAGTGGATTGCCTGAGCCCGCGAGTTCAAGACCCGCCTGGGCAGGCGAGACCTCATCTCTACAGTAAATCAAAAAAATTAGCCGGACATGGTAGTGTGTGCCTGTAGTTCCAGCTACTTGGAAGGCTGAGGCGGAAGGATCGCCAGAGCCCAGCAGGTCGAGGCTGCGGTGGCCGGGAGCGACCACTGCACTCCAGTCTGGGCGACGGAGTGAGACTCCAACTCAAAAAAAAAAAAGGTCACTAAAGCAATGGAAAAGCTCGTGTGGGTGATGGCGACAGGGCAGCCCAGAGGGTGAGGAGGGCTGGGATGGATGGAGAAGTGGGTGCAGGGCAGGGCGCCGCCCCTCAGCTTCTGAAACTGGAGAGGAAGAGGGGACCGTGAGGGCTGAGATGTTAGCAGTAGAGAGAAGTTCAGAACTACCAAGGTAGCTGAGTTCCTACCCAGTCCTGTTCCTGGAAACCGATTTCAAGTGGGCCAGTCCTTATGACTGCTGGGCCACGGGTCCCCAGGTGGTTGGAGTTTGGGGCTTTGATTTCCCTGACCACTGTTGACCTCACTGACTCCAGGAAAGAGTCAAGTGTGGGGACGGGGGGATGTACAGCATCCTTGACTTGTAGAAAGACTGTAGCTTTGAGGTTGGCTCAGAAATCCACGTGAGTAGAGAAACTTCTTGAATAAAACCCAACTGAAGTCCTGGGAAGTTCTGTTTGCCAGTGCTCTGAATCTGGACATATCGGTCCTGTCCCTCGTCATGTGTGAAAGGGCTCATATTCTCTCCAGTCATAGGAGAACCATGAACCCTAGGAACACAGATGCGGGGTCCTGCAGAGACAGCAAACCTTGTGCTTAGCTCACACTTGGAAGGTGTTATTTCTGCCAAGAGAATCAGGAAGGAAAGCGGGGCGGGGGGGCGGTACACAGAGACAGAGAGGGAGAGAGAGGCAAAGGAAAGAGACAGAGGGAAGAGGGAGAGGCCATCAGATCTTGATCCCAATTCCCTCTCCTCTGCTACCTCTGCTTGGGTAAATTCCCTAACCTCTCCAAGCCTCACTTATAACATCAGAATAAAGAGCTCCTGCCCTGAAGGGCTATGATGAGGAGCCAGCCAGCTCAGTGCAACAGGTGATAACACTCATGGAGGACACTGAACCACCAGGCACCTGGGAGAACCACCACCAAAGCGTAGGTGCAGGCAGGAGCCAGATGTCAACCCATCAACTTTGCTCCCCATGGTGAGATGGATTTTGATGTGCTCTCCGCTGGAAGTAGCTTCAGCAGCTTCCCCAGGGTCAGTTAATTAAATGCTCCCCTGATGGATATTTCTGGAATTTCTGCCAGAATCAGGTGTGCTGATGTCAAACTTCAAAGGCTAATAAGACACCCAGGGCTCTGCCACCCAGGGCTCTGAGCTTCAGGAGTCAAGCGGAGAGACATACAGTGTGCATGGAAAGAGAACAGTCTGTGATGCCACCGAAAGCTGGGCTTGAATCTCAGCAATTCACTCATTCTTTCTTCCAGCCAGTACTTGGGGACTGACCTTGCATGCATTGGGTGTTCGCCCTGCGTCCTGAGGATGCAGTAGTGAGCAAACCTTGCAAGGGACGTTCTCCCAGCTCAGCAGCTCAATACCACAGCCAGGGTCTTGGGAAAGTCGCTTGGTCTTGCCCAGCCTGTGTCATCATCCCACAGTGTGGACTTTAGAGTGTCAAGTGCATTCAATGAGTGAATATCATGGCAGGGAGCCCACGGAAAGGACACCCCCACTAGATGACGTTGTGTTCGTGTGGCAGGTTGCCCCTGGCAGGGACCACCATCCCAAACTTAAGGAGAGTCCAGAAAGACTTCTTGTGGGAAGTGACTCTGACGCTGGGACCAAGGAGTGGAGACCACCCCCACTGACCCTCTGGTCTGCCCCTACAGGTCTCCCACCCATGGACAAAGGGCCCAGCACTGTGGCCAAGACCACAACCTCCTCAGGCCACACAGCTGCTGAACCAGGCCCCCTCACCACCGCGAATCCCCTTCCACCAGGGCGCCCGGCCAGCGCCTGTGCAAAGAAGCTGGTCCCAGGCCTTCCCCAGGCCCACCGTGGTCCCTCCCACCGCCGACGGTCGGCCCCTGAGCGCCAGCGGGCACATGTTCCCATTCATGGTGGACGGCGCGTGCAAGTTCCCCGTCATCAGGCAGGGTAGGTGGGGGCTTCATCGGCGGCTCACAGGGCAGGTCACAACCATGTGGCTGGGGTTTGGGTTCCGCTTATTTTCTGATGATTGTAAAGGAAATTCAAGATAAACAGAAGGTGAGAGAACAGTTAAGAAATCAGCTGTAATCCTAGCCCCTGGGTCTCCCCCATTGACTTCTGGTGTTTCCTTGAGGCTGTGTTGTGCTGGTACACACACAGCAGTGCCCTGCAGTGTCTGTGCACATGTGAGTGTGTACACACGTGTGAGTGTGTAGCAGTATCTAAACTGATGCTTGGACTCGGATGTGCAGAAGTGTTAGTGACTGAAGCCCCCTTTGCCCACAACAGCCCTCGAAGGGGTTTAAGTAGCCTGCGACCAGTTTACGTGTGAGGGGAGATTGAGGCTTACTGAGGAGACTACACCTCCCCAGAGGAGGCATATCCAGTCTAATTTAACCTTATGTCTTGCAGTCACCGTTAGGGTTGGGGAGCCCAGAGACTGCCCACCACTGCCTGTCACTTTGGGGCACACAGTCACTGGAGTTTCCTTCCTCCCTCCCCCGCCCTCCCCAAAAACCTCATGGCATTTGGGGAGGAAACCTCCCATCTGTCACCATCCTCTGGCCTCGCCAGCCTCACTGGCAGGGTAGCCAGTCAGCTTAGTCCCTGGACTTGATTCCCAGGGCTCCTCCAGGGCCTCTGGCATCCAGGTCAATCTCTGTCCTCTCCATGGCAACCCCAGAGCCTCCAGGTTCCCCCAGTCTTTCAGCGCCTCCACATCCTCCCCAGGTCTTGCTCAAGACCATTCACTTAGTCACCCAAGTCACTAAAAGAGTAATAACAATAATTATGATTATTGTGAAATATACAAACTAAAGAGTAAATGAAACATTGTCTCCATCATCATTATCGTCATCATTGCCATCAAATGAATTCTCATGTCCTGCTACCCACATTAAGAAATTACCTTGTTGCCGGGAGCAGTAGCTCATGCCTGTAATCCCAGCAGTTGAGGATGTGGAGGTAAGAGGATTGTCTGAGCTCATGGGTTCAAGACCAGCCTGGGCAACTTGGTGAGACCTTACCACTATAATAAATTTTTTAAAAATTTAGCTCGGTGTAGTGGCATGCACCTGTGGTTCCAGCTACTTGGGACGCTTAAGTGGAAGGATTGCCTGAGCCCAGCAGTCGAGGCTGCAGTGGCTGTGAGCATGCCACTGCACTCCAGCCTGGGCAACAGAGTGAGACTCTGACTCCAAAAAAAAAGAAATGACCTCACTGTATCCCCCAACATATAATGTGAAAAATTTCAAAAGCACAGCAAAATAAAATGAATTTTACCATGACCCCCCACCTACATCTACAGGTTGCTATACTCTTGTTATCTATGTATTTATCCTTTCATTTATTCATTAATCCCCTTATTGTCAATGCATTGCAAAGTAGATTGCAGACTTCTGTAGTCTTCCCTAAGTTAGTCTTTTGATGTAAAATTAACATTCAATATGTATTCATTATCAGTTGCATAACCAATTACCCTAAAACTTAGCAGCCTAAAACAAACAAAAACACTGTGTGTCCTCATCTTTGGCTTCTGTGGGTCAGGAACTCGGGAGTAACTTAGCAGGGTGGTTCTGGCCCAGGGTCCCTCCTGAGGTTGCAGTCAAGATGTTGGCTCAGGCTGCAGTCACCTGTAAGCTTGACTGGGGCTGGGAGATCTTCCAAGATGGTGCACTCCCATGGCTGTGGGTTGGAGACCTCAGTTCTTCACCTCGTGGACTTTCCATAGAGCTGCTGGGTGTCCTCACGGACTGGCAGCTGGCCCCTCCAGGGCAGGTGATCCAAGGGAACAATGTGGAAACTGCAGTGCCTCTGATGACCAAGCCTCAGTCTTTTCAGCAGTGCCCTGTGGGCACCACAGATCAGCTCTGCCCAGTATGGAAGGGGACTGACACCGGGAGGCAGGAATTAGTGGCAGTCATCTTGGAGGCAGCCTACCACAGTCTGCCCCCGGTCCTCAATGATTCACCCCCACATGTAAAAACCCTCACCTCTCTGACTCCGAGGTCCCCAAAGTCTTACCTCACTTTGGCATTATTAGCTTAAGGTCCAGAATCTCATCATCTAAGTCAGGCCCTGGTACGGATCAGACCCACCAGCTGTCATTCCTTAATTTCAGCTCCTCAAGTACAGTTGCTATCATTGTGGAGACCTGTGAACTAAACGGACAAGTTGTCTGTCCCTCACACACCCGGTAGGCACAGGAAGACTGCTGCAGACACTCATCCTGCTCAGATGATAAAACACATGAGAGCCAGTGGTCCACAGCAGTGACAAAATCCCTCCTAGAAAAATGCTAGACTTTCCTTCACTGGGATTCCGTCCTACTCTTGTCCAGAAGTGACCTTCCTATGGCTCTTTGCTGTGCCCTGTGGGCTCTGGGTTCTGCCCTCTGAATCATTCTGCCTTTTTGTGGCTGCCTAGTTTTACCAGTTTGCTTCCTACTTGTAGGAGCATGGGAGGCCAAAGACTTTTGTGGTATCTCTGTTCCTCGGTCCCAGTTGGCAGTGCTCCTTATTGGGGTTCATCCTATTAGGCAAAAGCCATGCCCACAGGTTCCTCTGACACAGCCTTCTCTGCCTGGCCTTCCACTGAGGCTACTGGGTTCAGCACCCAGACGCTGCATGGAAGCCCTCGTGCCTTGACTCCCAGTCTTCCTTGGGGCGCTGCCTGAGGTCTCGACGTGTTCCCAGCAAAGGATTTCAGTTGCACCTGGGCTTCTTCCTTAGACTGAGTCTTCCTGACAGTCTGGATGTGATTCTTGCCCCAAACCCACTTCTTAAATTTTACTTGCCACCTGGGGAGACAGGGAGTTTCCAAACCCGTGGGAGCAGGTCTGGCTCCTCTTTGTTGGCAAGTCCTTCCTGTAGCTGATCTCTACCTTGTCGTCTTACCACAGGGAGCAGGAGATAACCAGGCGGCACCGTCCAGTGCTCCACCTGGACATCTTTTTAGCTGATCACCCCATTCGTTAGGTACCTTTGCTCCTTTCCACATTACCACGGGAGTATGTAATGAAGCTCTATACAGAGACCCATAGCCCCAGTAACATTTTCCTCACTTTATTTAAACCCCTGCTTGCCTCCTCAAAGGCTTTTGGACTCCTACTGACAGACTCTTCGAGACTGTCACTAAGCCTTCAGGGTCTCATTAAGACTCTTCGCAGCCAGGCTCGGTGGCTCAGCCTGTAATCCCATGCCTTTGGGAGGCTGAGGTGAGTGGATTGCCTGAGCCCGCGGGTTCGAGACCCGCGGGCAACTTGGCGAGACCTCATCTCTACAATAAATTAAAAAATTAGCCGAGCGTGGTAGTGCACGCCTGTAGTTCCAGCTACTTGGAGGGCTGAAGGGGAAGGATCACCGGAGCCCAGCGGGTCAAGGCTGTGGTGGCTGGGAGTGGCCACTGCACTCCAGTCTGGGTGACAGAGTGAGACTCTAACTCAAAAAAAAAAAAAAGACTCTTCGCAAAAGTTCTCCGGCTTCTGACCACTGTCCCTTCCCAAAGTCACTCCTCATTTTAGAGTTTTGGTAAAGTCCTGGTATCAAAATGTGTCTTCGCTATTTATTGCTGCTAACAAATTCCCCCAGACTTAAGCAACAATAAGCACTGATCATCTCCCACAGTTTCTCTGGGTCAGTATTTGGGGAGTGGCTTAACTGAGGGATTCTAGAGCCTCATGAGGTTGCAGTCAAGCTGTCAGCCAGGGCTGCAGTCATCTGAAGGCCCGCCTGGGGCTGGAGGCCCTGTCTCCGAGATGGATCACTCATATGGCTCAGTTCTTCACCACAGGGATCTCTCCAGGCTGCCTGAGTCCCCCGTGAAATGGCCACCGGCTTTCTCCAAAAGAGTGACCCTAGAGAGCAAAGCAGGGACTGCAGTGTCTCTTGTGATCCAGCCTCAGGAGGCAAACTCTGTCATTTCAGCAGTACCCTTGGTTGTATATGTATGGCTGGATCAAAATGTATGTATTGAAGCCCACACCCCCAGTACCACAGAATGTAACTGTATCTGGGGATAACATCTTTAAAGAGGTCACTGAGTTAGTTAAGGTCATTAGGGTGAGCCCTAATCCAGTCTGACGGTTATCTGTATTAGAGGAAGATATTAGGACATAAGACACCAGGGATATGAGTGCACAGAGGAAAGACCTCATCAGGAGACAGTGAGAAGGCAGCCATATGCAAGCCAAGGAGAGAGGCCTCAGGAGAAACCACCCTGCTGATACCTTGACCTTACATCTGGCCTCCAGAACTGTGGAGAATACATTTCTGTTGTCTAAGCCAACCCAGTCTATGCTTTGCTATGGCAGCCTGAGCAGATTAATACAAGCTCCATCCAGTGTTGAAGAGAACTGTACAAGGATGTGAATACCAGGGACAAGAGTCACTGGGGCCATCCTGGAGACTGGCTACCACACAGTGAAATGCACAGATCTTGTATGAGCATCGCTGAGTCATGATAGCCATATACACCTGTGTAACCCAAGCCCCTGTCTAGATTTAGAACATTACCATGACCCTAGAAAGTTCCTCAGGTCCAAGTCAATTCACAGTCCCATCCACGAGAGGCAAACACTCTTCTGAATCACTTTTCCATCATGGATTAGCGATTCCTGATTTAGAATCTGAAATAAATGGAATCAGGTAGTATATGCCCTTGTGTAAGGCTTTTTCACTCAGCATACTATTTCTTTGATTAATCCATTTTGTTGTATGTATCACGAGTTTGCTTTTTTTAATCCCTAAGTAATATTCTATTGCATGAACATATGTGTCCATTCTTTTATTGGTGGACACAGGGGATGTTTCTTTCTTTGCTCGGGTTTCTCCACTGGTTTCTCGGTGCCATGTGGAACTCAAGGCTTCTCTAAAAGAATTCCATTCTCCCTGGGAAGTTGAGAAGTCCTATGACTTTGAGGCCCTCAAAGCCACCACCACAGCCTCCCACTGGGGTATCATCTGGCTTGGGAAGATGCCATGATGTCTGTTCCCATATTTCCACTCTCATTCAGGATTCAGAGAAAGACTTTCCCCTTCCCATAGTAAGGGGTTTCCTTGTGTCCCATCCAGGCCTCTCTAATCCACGCTTTAGAGTGAACTCTATTTTCCTAGTCCTCCAGGCTGGCTCTTGATTGAACACCCATTTTTCAGAGTTCTGAGAAAAACCTTTCCTCTCTTAACAAAGCTGGACTCTTCTAGACCTGCTTGGGTAACTTGGCAAGACCTCTAATAAAAAATCAAAAAATCAGCCGGGCATGGTAGCGCGTGCCTGTAATTCCAGCTACTCAGCTACTCGGAAGGCTGAGGCGGAAGGATCGCCGGAGCCCATCAGGTCGAGGCTGCAGGGCCGGGAGCGGCCACTGCACTCCAGTCTGGGCGACAGAGTGAGACTCCAATTCAAAAAAAAAAAAAAAAGAGATTCTCCTGATTTACATATATTGTAAACAATGGGATCATTTGAACCCAACACTGGTAACCTACTTGTGAAAATTCAGCAATATATCATGAAGGTCAATACATTTACTGCATAATGGTTAAGATCACAGGCTCCGGATCCAGCAAACTTGGGTTCAAATCTTGACCCTGCCACTTAGCAACTGCAGGATCTTGGGCAAGGACTTGACACCTTTGGGCCTCCAAGCTCTTGTTTATAAAATACCCTGTGAATGCTGTGTCAATAGTTGTCAGGCTGTGTTTTTGTTGTTGTTGTTGTTTTTATTGTATTGTTATTTTTAAATGCATGTTAAAAATTGTTTTCAATCCACAGTTGGCTGAATCCACAGATGCGAAGCCCACCAATTCAGAGGGTTGACTGTATATATTTCTTTTTTCTTGTTTTTTTTTGAGTTGGAGTCTCACTCTGTCACCCAGACTGGAGGACAGTGGCACGCTTTTTTTGATTTATTGTAGCGATGAGATCTCGCCAAGTTGCCCAGGTGGGTCTCGAACCTGCGGGTTCAGGCAATTCACTCACCTCGGCCTCCCAAATCGCGGGATTACAGGCCAAGCCACTGAGCCCAGCCTGTATATATTTCTTGTCATAAATCACCATAGCACAGAACCAGATGTAAATATTTTAGGCTTCGTGGATCATCCTATCTGTGTTGCAACTATTCAACTGTGCCTTTGTAGCTCGAAAGCAGCCACAGATGACATGTAGCTGAATATCTGTGGCTGCATTCCAATAAAACTTTATTTTCAGTAACAGGCAGGACTGAGTTTGGCCCCAGGGCCCTAGTGTGCCAGCCCCTGCTATACCTCCTGTTTCATTCATAACAGACCTTTTAGTAGATACATCAGTGTCCCTAAGACACATATGTGGAAACTAGGCCTGTGAGAGGTTAAACGACCTGCCCAAGGTCACCAGCTATTCTGTGACATGGAATAAAAGTCTGGAGACATGCCAATGTGGATAGCAGCACAGTTAGCATGGGGAGAGAAAGACCGCGGCTCTTTCACTTTCTAGTACTTCTGTGATGCTGTCCTTGCTGTCAGCGAACATATGCCTCACTCTAATTCTAAAACTATGTAAAGTGCCAAACTCGGGGAAACCAACAGGGTGGCTAATCTGAAAATATTCTTCAAGGCCTTGGGACCACTCACGGTGTCTTCTGTTGATCTTCTGCCTCAGTGTGGACCAGTGCTATGGAGCTGTCGGAACAATCTGTGGCCGAGGGAATTCCTGGGGCAGTTCCCCCCACGGAGATCTATGTAGGGCATGACCTGGCCCAGCAGGACAAGGTGAGGGGCCTGGGGATGGGTGGGGCTGCCCCAGAGGTACCCTGTGGGGGTACAGAGGGACGTGCCAATGCTTCCTGTTCTCTGTGGCCTGGGAGGGGCCCTTTTTCTTGCTTCCAAGGAAGAAGAAGTCACCTGAGTCCCAGGACATTCACCCAAAAGTTTTACCTCAAACAACAACATCTACAACGACCATTTATTGAGCACCTACTGTGTGTTAGACTGTGTCCTGTGCATATGCCCTTCATTAGCTCAGTCTTCACTGTCTTGCCAGGCACGGTGGCTCAGAACTTGGAGAGGCCAAGGCAGGAGGATCGCTTGAGCTCAGGAGTTCGAGACTAGCCGAGACAACATAAAGGGACCTCCTCGTCTCTACAAAAAATAAATAAATAGGTCGGGCCAGGTAGCTCAAGCCTGTGATCCCAGCACTTTGGGAGGCCGAGATGAGGGGATTGCCTGAGCCTGCGGGTTCAAGACCAGCCTGGGCAACACAGTAAGACCTCATCTCTACAATAAATCACAAAATTAGCCTGTAGCTAATTTGGAAGTACACGCCTGTAGTTCCAGCTGCTTGGAAGCCTGAGGCAGAAGGATCACCGGAGCCCAGCAGGTTGACGCTGGGGTGGCCGTGAGCGTGCCACTGCACTCCAGCCTGGGTGACGGAGTGAGACTCCAACTAATAAATAAATAAATAGATAGATAAGCCAGACATGGCAATGTGCACCTGTAGTCTCAGCTACTCAGGAGGCTGAGGCAGAAGGATCACTTGAGTCCAGGAGATCAAGGCTGTGGTGAGGCTTGATCGTGCCACTGCACTTCAGTCTGGGCAACAGAGTGAGATCCTGACTCAAAAAATAATATCCTCATCATCTTCAGAATAGATTTTATCACCCTCACTTTGCCGATGAGAACAATGCAACTCAGAGAGGTTCAGTAACTCGTTCAAGGCTACACAGTGTGAAGGGTAGAATAGGCATTCAAACCCAGGTCTGGTGAACTTCTAAATTGGTGAGAGAACAGTGGTGAGGAAAACAGACGACAGACAACAGAGCAGACGACAGATCAAAGGAGAGACTTGTTAAAGAACCACAGAGGTCTAGAGAATGAGATGGGAACAGAGATCAGAGCAGGGGAATTCAGGCGAGGCTGGGAAGGATGGGTCCAGGGTGATTTCTCCCCACACAGCCACAACCTGAAAATTATACCCAAGAAACCGTCCGACAGTGTCTTGGTCCCTCCCGGAGCAGGACCTGAGCCCACACAATTCCCAGGGTCTGTGAGGTGTGGAAGCCCCGGGTTCTTGTTACACACAAGAGTAACACACCCAGGACCCACAGCTTCAGGTGAAAGGAGGTTCCGATGCAGGTGTCCCGAGATCCGACCCAAGCAGTGCTGCGGCAAGGTGAGAAGCCAGGCTTGGGGGCTCTGCCATCCACTGCTGTGTAACAAGTTGGCCCAAAACTTGGCAGCTGAAAACAGCAATTTACTTCCCACGATTCTCTGGGTTGACTTGGTGTCTTCTGGCTCACTCGTGCGCTGAGGATAGCCAGCGGCTCGACAGGGGCCAATGTCTTAAAAGGCCTTGTTCCCCTGTCTGGGCCTCAACTGGAATGCTGAGCCCCTCCCTACATGTGCTTTCTTGTCCTGGGCTTCTTCATGGTGGTCTCTGGTATCCCAGGGTGCCACCTTAGCGTGCCCTAGCAGGCCATCTCTCATGGCCTCTTTGCAACTTGCCGGAGCTCACTCAGCATCTCTCCTACCACCTTCTGTTAGTCACAGCAAGTCTTAGGCCAGCCTATATTTCCGCTGCTTGATAGCAGAAGTTGCAAAATATTTGTAGCCATTTTTGTTTAATCCACCACAGTTGTTAGACTGGAAAGACATTGCAGCCACATTTCTAATTTTTTCTATTTATGAACTATTTATGCCCTGACTTTCCAGGACTTTTTCAAGTGCAAGTCACAGTAAACAAATTGGTTTAAGAAATAAAAACATTTATTGACTTGTCTTATTGGAAAATTTAAGGGCCCACTAACTTCAGGCATGGCTGGATCCAGGAACTTAAATGATGTCATCAGAATATTCCCTGCTACCAGTTTCTCCACTGTTTCTCTCATAGTTTGGCTTTCTCCAGAAAGCTGCTTCTTGTGTTAGAAAACATGAGCAAAGACAAATTTGTTTTAAAAAATCTATAAACTTAAAGTTTATGACCAAAAAGGGAGCAAAACCCTCCTCTTCTTGTGATTGATAAATGAAATCTCTGAGAACACATTGTTTCACCAGCCTGGGTCACCTGAACATGGCAGGGGGGACAAAAAGGAGCAGGGCACAAGATTGACACTCCCTTCACGACCAGATGGAAGGGTGGGGGCGCTCCCTCGAGGAGGTGCGCGGGGTGCCCACCAGCAGGATGGAAACCCCAGCTTCTCTTTACATCACCTTTCGGCTTCTCTTTACGTCAGTGCCCAGCACAGAGCCTGACACATGGGGGCTCGATACGTGCTTGTTGCTTGGATCCTGACAACACCCTGGCCGAGCATGGTGACTTTGGTGGCGCACATCCTATGATACAGCGGGTGTGTTGGGGGGGGACTGCCTAGGAGCATGGAATCCCAAGGCTGTCCCTTGGCATGTGTTCACACCCTTGCATGGACACACCGAGAGACACTTGGCAGCAGTTGGCCACGGCAGCTGGGGTCTGCCACGACCAACCTTGTCATTCCAAGGTTAGGGAGTCAGAAGGGGTGACTCGGAGGCTCTCTGGGTGGCGAGCTGGCCTAAAAACCGCACATTCTCCTTCCAGCCAGTGGGAAGCCGCAGGGAGGGCCGGGCTTCCTTTCAAAGTCATTGATCGGGTGTTTTGCAACTGCCTCTGAACACTTCTGGGAGATTTTTGTTTTCAGTCTTCCTGATGTTTTCTTGATGGCTTCTGGTGAGAAGTTAGGGTTTTTTTCCCCCTTTTGGGGGAAACCTAATAAATTCTTTGTCTACCCTGCTCTTCTCTTGGAGAGATGTAGAACTGGGTTGATTAAGCCAGGTACAGTGGCTCATGCCTGTAATCCCAACACTTTGGGAGGTAGAGGTGAGAGGATTGCCTGAGCTCAGGGGCTCCAGACCAGTCTGGGCAATATAGCGAGACTTCATCTCTACAATAAATCAAAAAAATAAGCCAGGCCTGGTGGCACGTGCCTGTAGTTCCAGCTCCTTGGAAGGCTGAGGCGGAAGGATCGCCTGAGCCCAGCAGGTCGAGGCTGCGGTGGCCGTGAGTGTGCCACTGCGCTCTAGCCTGGACGATGGAGTGAGACTCTGACTCAAAAAAAAAAAAAAAAGGAACTGGGTTAGTTATACCTGTGGGTCAAGTATTTTCCAGGCTGAACTTTACAAGAGCCCACATACATACCTCACCACACCCTATTGTTTATTTTTCATGACTTAGTTACCTAGAATACATTTTTATGTGAGCAACCAAAAGAGGCAGTGAGACCCGGAAGAGAAGGGAAAAGAAATCTTTCAGAACACATTACATTTTTAAAGTCACATGGCTTTAAGAATGTGGTTGGATGAAATGTCATTTTCCTAATTTCCTTTCCTATGTTCCCAGGTTCTAGACAGAGGCCTGATAAGTTAATTCCTAAAAATATTATAAATAAACTTCCTGGCAACAAGGCTTCCCACATAGGGTGCTTGTTCTCAATAGGAAAGTATATGAAAGAAAGGAAGGCTCCCGTACCTTTGAGGTCTAAACATTTGTCATAGGCGTCTCTATACAGGAGTGACTTTAACCGGACTCTTGTCTCTGTGAGTTTGCAGGCAACAGAGACAGACTCAGAGCCTGTCTTCCCACCACCGACTTGCCCTTACCTTTCTAAGAGACTGACCTCCTCATGTCCCGCCTGCCTTCCCTGAGCCCAGGCTTGCCCCTGGACCCACACCTAGTAAGCGCCCATCCGATCTCCACCCAGGATGAAATCATTCTGCTGCTGGGACAAGAGGTCAGCCGGCTCTCGGATTTTGAAATTGAGTCCAAATACAAAGACGCCGTGATCGCAAACCTGCAGAACGAAGTGGCGGAACTCAGTTGGAAGCTGTCGGAGTCCACCTCCTCCAGGCAGACCGAGAAGAAGATCTCGCAGAAGTTTCAGGTTCTAGACGAAGACACTGACGACAAGCAGAAAGAGATCCAGAGCCTGAAAGACCAGGTAGGACGTGGAGCCTTGGTGTTACAACAGGGGGTGACAGCTCTCAGGCGAGGGCCCCGGGAGCCCGGGAGCATGGACCAGGGCAAGCCCCCAGAGAGCCGGGGAAGTCAGAGTCAGCAGAGCATGGGGGCTCTGCATACCAGTCCCCAGGGAACAGAGGCTTGGCAGGCTCCTAGCACGGGAAGGACGTTCGCATTTCTTAAGCAGCAGCCACAGGCAAGCATGAGTGCAAAGTGCTTTAGACGCATTCGCTTATTTTAAGCCCCACAATCCTCTGACACGTCCATTCTCCAGGTGAGGAGTCTGAGGCAGGCCCGGAGATGCCCAGGAACTAGTGACAGCTTGCACAGCCCGTGAGGGGGGTAGTGCAACTTGGACTCAGGCCCGCCTCCCTGAAGACCCCTTGATCTCACCCCACGTTCCAGGGACCGCCTCTCTCCCCACCCAGCCCCAGCCAGAGAGAGCAGCTGGCAGTTAGCTCAGGGGGAGAAGGAGCCCCCCGGGCCCTAGCACAGAGGCTGTCACCCAGCCCGAGGCAGCTCCTGGCTCACGTATGGGGAATGCAGCCAACAGACTCCACCTGGAGGTTCTGAGTTTGCCCGTCACGTTCCGCCCGTCCCGTTCCTTTCTCTCGGATCTGGATTCACATTCCTTGGTTTTGTTTCTAACTTCAGACTCGGCTGGTGAGGCTGCACATAAACTATATCTCAACAAAGTTGAGAAGTGGGCCCTGGAGAACCTGGGCCTTGGGGCACGGTGCTGCTCTATCCGCAGCCTCCCTGCCTCCGGCCTCGCCCTTCTGCCTGGCTCCAGTGTGCAGGTTCAGCCCTGCAGTTGGTCCCCCAGAAGAGGAGCTGGGTGAGGCCTGGCAAACCCAGGAGGGGTCTCCAGAGATTGCGAGCTCCTTGAGGCTAAGGACCTTCCAGAATGCTAAGAAGACAGTGTCTGTTCAGCCACTCATTCCTTCCTTTCTTCCTTCATTTAAATAAATAGAGGGTACCCCCAAAAATGTATACACATTTTAAGAAAGGAAAAATCTGTTGGTCACAATGGGTCACACTTGTCATTCCAACGCTTTGGGAGGCTGAGACAAGAGGATTGCCTGAGTCCAGGGGTTTGAGACCAGCCTGGGCAACTTGGCAAGACCTCATCTCTACAATAAATCAAAGAATTAGCCAGGCATGACAGCATGTGCCTGTAGTCCCAGCTACTTGGAAAGCTGAGGTGGAAGGATTGCCTGAGCCCAGCAAGTCAAGGCTGCGGTGGCCATGAGCGTGCCACTGTACTCCAACCTGGGCAACAGAGTGAGACTCCAACTCAAAAAAAAAACTGTATTAAAATTGTGGATGAATACAAGTCATATTTGACTTCTGCAATTACAAGAGGTGATCAAAGTGGTTACCATCAGCTTCCAGACACTTCCGATTATGGCAAACTAAAAGTAATACACTGATGACATAACTTAAAATGATGGCTCAGCCTGTACTCCCAGCACTTTAGGAGGCTGAGGCAAGTGGATTGCCTGAGCCTGCGGGTTTGAGACCAGTCCAGGCAACTTGGCAAGATCTTGTCTCTACAGTAAGTTAAAAAAATTAGCCAGGCATGGTAGCGCATGCCTGTAGTTTTGGCTACTTAGAAGGCTGAGATGGAAGGATCGCCAAAGCCCAGCAGGTTGATGCCGGGGTGGCCATGAGCATGCCTCTGCTCTCCAGCCTGGGCGACAGAGTGAGACTCCACCTCAAAAACAAAATGTGTATACATGCTCCTGGTATTTGGTGGGTGTCTTCCCGGGGCTGTGCCCACTTTGGGGCTCTGGGAATTCAACAGGAACAAGACAGCTGTGGTCCTGGCCTTCCTCCAGTTGTGTCCCAACAAGAGAGCCAGAATCAACAAGTAAACAGACAGCTGTATGCTCTAATATTTAAGCGGTGACCCTCCTGAGGACCTGCTTTTGAAACAGCAAAGATAGCTGCAGGTTCTGTAAGAACTCCACCACAGATGCCTGCTGACGTGTCACTTGCGCATTCATGAGCATCTTTCTCTTGACCCGAACCCAACTTTGCAGACGGGTGGAGAAACAGCCTTCTCAGCAATGCTCCCGGTTCAGAGTTTTCCTGAGCAGAGTAGCACGCCCTGCTAGGGACACGGGCAAGGAAGAGTAATTCTCACACATCTTTGAGTCTGTGTCCGCAGGTCACAATTTGAACTTTGTTTAAAGTGGCCAGTGATCTCTGGACATTTGTTTCTTCACCAAGAATTTATCTAGAAATAATGACTCTGATTTATCCTACTGTTGACCCTTCCCCCACCTTGAATTTCACTCATAATGGGAAGAGAGGACATTTTATGACAAGGCATCTCCGACTTGGAGGGTGCAGTTGGTTTAAATCCAAACCAAGTCTCCTCTGCTCACATTTTAGTTTCTTAAACATTCTGCTGTCAGCAGCAGAACATTCAACCAGAAGTATAAGCCACATGGCAGGTTGATGTATTGTCCTGATTATTTTTCATGTTCTCCGGGGTCCCCTGAAAGTATATGCAAATTGATTTGCTCTCAAAGGTCTTCGATCGGATAGAATACAGCTAGAAAACGCTTATCTCCGGGCGGTCTGTCCTGACTGTGCTAATTATAGTCCTGAAACAATCACTCTTCCTGTCACTATTAACTTTCCGATGACCCAGTGCCCACTTTATGACACAGCATCACAGGTATTAAACATCTTGAGATTTAGACAATCTGGGTATTTATTTGGTCAGTGAAGGTAATGTAGAGATTTGAAGATTACCAGGCGTCTTCCCACACTCTGACACCCTAAAGTTCTGATACTGAGATCGGAATATTTAACATCTGTCAGACAACCCTGGCATCATTGGAGGACATGTTTTCTCATCTCTTCTGAAAATTCATCTCTGTGTTGTGCCTCTGGTATTAAACAAAAGCACTAAGCTAAGAAGAGCTAGAAACATTTTTTTTTTAATTCCAAGTACCTTTTATAGGAAAGTTGAATTTCCTCCAGGAAGAGGTGAACAAACTTTTTTTCCACTGGAAATTTTCCAAAGCACGAACTTGCCAGAATGTAGCCTTGGGGAGGGGTGGAGGGCTGGCGTGATGTGTCCCTCCCCTTCCCAGCGAGCACCCCTTTCTCCAGTGTCTCGGATGCCCCACGGATCATGTGAGTGGTGAGTGAAATGAGCCCTGTAAGTTGTGGAACCTTGATGCTTCTGTTAATTCTGCCACCAAGTCATCCCAAGACTTTCCGGGACAGACCCCAAGGATAAAGACTGTGAGCGCCACCTGGCGGCCAGGTGCACCTCATGCCAGTACCCGCATTCACTGAGCACTCCCACCCCATCATGTGTTATCCTATCTATGCCTGCGACAAGATGTGACTGTTAACAGGGATTCATGTATTTCCTCTGAACAATAATCACACTGGTGTTCAAGTGAGCTCAGACAAGGCTTCCAAACACACCCTAAAACACGATCAGTCTAGCTTCCCCGAGACAGGCAAGAGAAGCCAAATCTAAAAGCACCGTGGGATAATCGTAGCTAATGTCTACGTGCCGGGTGCCAGGCATGGTCTGAGCCCTTTTACATAACGAACTTATTAAAATACTTTCAGCAATCCTATGAGACCAGGACTACCCTCAGCGCATTTCCAGAATGAAGAAATGAGTCAGAAGCGGTGTCCTCCCCTTGTACGGCCACACAGCCTGTAGCTGGCAGAGACAGAGGAAGATGGCAGTCTAGCTCCTGGGTCCATGCAGTGCTCTGTGGCCTCCAGTTTTCAATGCTGGTTCCTAGAGACATGTGTAGGATGGAAAGAACTGGAACCAGGCCAGACGCGGTGGTTCACACCTGTAATCCCAGCACTTTGGGAGGCTGAAATGGGAGGATCACTTGAGACCAGGAGTTGGAGACCAGCCTGGACAACAAAGTAAGACCTTGTCTCTATGAAAATATAGAAAAACTAGCCAGGCATGATGGTGTGTGCCGGTAATCCCAGCAATTTGGAAGCTGAGGCAGGAAGATGGTTTGAGCCCAGGCGTTCAAGGCTATGGTGAACTGTGATCGTGCCACACTGCACTCTAGCCTGGGTGTCAGAGTAAAACCTTGACTCAGAAACAAACAAAACAAAACGAGGCCGGGCGTGGTGCCTCACACCTGTAATTCCAGCACTTTGGGAGGCCGAGGCGGGAGGATTGCTTGAGCCCAGGAGTTCAAGACCACCCTGGGCAACATAGCAAGAACTCACCTCTACAACAAATTTTTTTTAAAATGAACCAGGTAACTAAAAACTGGATTTGAATCGTCACTCCACCGCTGACTCCAGCTTTGCGGTCCCAAGCAAGGGACGTGAGCTCACCTCCCTGAGTGCTGATTTACTCACACGTAAGATGGGGACGTTAGTGGAAGCATCCTGCAGGAATGCCATGAAGGAGTGGTGTCTGTGAATGGGCTCCATTAGCTCTGGAGGGTTCTGTGAGATATTATCTGTTGTTAGCATTTGAGGGAATTGGTTTTATAACTTGCTTCCCTCTTCTGCCCCATATCTAGTCATTGCAGGCAACCTGGAGCCAACAGCTGGTCTGTTCATGGCTGAGGGTCCACACTGAGGAGTCAGGTATCCCCTCCATGGGCACAAAGATAAGGCTCACACTTTAATCCCGTAGGAAGTGGTGGTCGCTGAAGGAACAGTCCCTGCCCTGTCTCTTTCGCTGATTGAAACTAACAAGCTTGGTTTCACCCACGTCCCCACCCAAGATCCATCCGAATCTTTCTGTCCAACTCAGAAGAAGTACGCATGCATCTTGCCGATGGGGGCCACCCCACTCTGATGGTGCTACCTCCTCCCACAGATCAGTGCCCTACAAAAAGGCTACAGCCAGGTGCTGTGCCAGACCCTGTCGGAGCGGAACTCAGAAATCACATCCCTGAAGAGCGAGGGCGAGAACTTGAAGAGGAGCAACGCCATCACGTCAGGTGAGCACTTTCTGGAGTTGTGCCTGGGAGCTGCCATCCCCTCCCCCACCTCACAGCCACAGTAGACGTCACCAATCAACCCCTGCCCTTTTTCTCCCTGAACTTGGCTGCAACCTCAGAGTTCTCAGCAGCCCTGGAGGCAACGCCTGTCCACGGATTCAAGTTCACCCTCAAGAGAGGTTTATTTGCCATCTGGCTCCTGGCACAGGGCTTGGCTCAAAGGCAGCCTCGATAGCTATTTGAGCAAATGTTATCACTTAGCTAGAAGGCCTGCTGAGCACCGACCTCACCAGGAGAGGCAGTCTGGGGCATAACTCAGGCATCCCATGAATGCAAACCAGAACCGGACAAAACCCAGGCGCTCCCTTCAGGCACTTGGCATCTGAGGATCTCGCCTTGGTGTCCTCGGGCCCCAGTGAACGCCTTTTGCTGTTGAGAGGTAGTTCAATGCCAAAGAACTTGAGTGGGAGGACAGAAGGCCAACTTGTGGTCTGGTGATTTCTTAGCCTGGAGTCATTCATTCATTTAACATATTTATTGAGCACCTACTAGGCACCAGGCATGGTTCTAGGCTCTGGGGAGAGTCCTGAGCAGTCAAGATTGCTGTCTTCCCAGGGCTCCCGTCTGGGAGAAGGCGAGAATAGGAACAAAAAAACAGATAAACGAGCCGTTTCAGAGAGACCTGCATGGTGCCGGGAGAGTGAAGCCGGCTATCGTGGGGGGAAGGGCTCTGGGGGAGATGAAGAGGAACTGAGTGGTTGAGCAAGGACAGCCTGAGGAGGTGGGGAGGCCCCAGGGAGCAGGGCCTGGCAGAAAGCGCAGGTGCAAAGGCCCTGAGGCTGGAGTCAGGGAACAGGGGACTGTGGGGCCAGGTGGGACTGGAGCAGGGCAGGGCCAGGTCGCAGGGAAGAGTTCGGGTTTTATTCTAAGCGTGACGGGATGCTTTTAAAGCAGAAAGTAACGTGTCTAGAGACCTGAAGAGGATGGACCACGGACAGAGAAGGGGCAGCGAGAGGAGGAGGTGTGGGAGGCAAAGCGTCGTGGGGAGGGGTATGTAGCACCCCAAGTCTCCATCACCCTGCAGGAAGTGCGTCCACGGCCGTAGGAGCCGGGCCTCGTGTCTGAGCCCAACGGAACCGCCATCTCGAGGTGAATCAGTGGCTGCGCCAGGCGGCCTGCCACGGCTTTCCCCCGCCCCTCCCGGCTTCTGCCTCTGCTCTCCCCTCCCTCGAATGTCCCTGGACACCGGTGAGCATACCCTATGGACAGGGACTGCTCCGAGGGAACGCAAGGCGGAGCGCACCAGGCCCTGCCCCCGCGGCGCACCTGCCTGTCACTCTGCTGCACGCCCATCTCCAGCCTCGCCTCTCCAGTCAGGGAGTCGGACAGACCTGGGCTCAGGACAGCCTGGGATGGGCCAGACCCTCGCCGCTCGAAGTGTGGTCCCGGGACCAGCAACCTCAGCCCCACCGGGGTCCTTGCGAGAAACTCCAGGCCCCATCCCGACCCTCTGATCAGAATCTTTCATTCAGCCAGCTCCCGGGTGTTCCGTCCACACACTCGCATTTGAGAAGCCATGGTTGGTTGTGCTGCTGCGACAAACCGTCCCCCAGTCTCAGTGGCTTTCGAGAGACAGCCCCATTTCCTGCTTTCAGTTTGAGCCCATCGTGGGTCAACAGGGGTTCTGCCCAGTAGAGGCGCCCAGGGACCCAGGCTGGGAGACGCTGTCACAGCACGTCACAGGTCGCACCTTCCGTGGAGAGAGAGGCAGCTGGAGCAACAGGGACTGGTTTTACTCTCCTGCCTGAAACAACCAAACAAACAAATAAGCAACAACAACAAGACAGAAGAGATGTCTGAAACAATGGCGTCCATGTTTTGACCCCAAGAAGAATGTGACAGTGATCTGGGAGGGAGGAGGAACAAGATGACACCTGTGACTGCTCAACTTCCCGGAGTCTCCAGATCACAGAGGGAGGGAGCCAGACAGCACAGTGGTCCCCCAACTGAACAAGACAACAGCGTGTGTCTGCCTGGCAGACTACCTAGAGGAGGGGGCCCCACAGAGAGAGCCCCAGAGGTCTCAAGAGTTCCCTCAGGTCTTCAGCCCAGTCAGGACTGATGATCACCACATGCCTGTCCGCAGGGAAAGATCCAACAAAAGGAGCAGAGGGAACAATCAGAAAGTTCACATGGGCCTGAGAATAGTTCGCCTCCCACCCTCCCCAATGGAGAAACCTCAGGAAACACAGGGCGTGTGACAGACATGCAGAAAGGTGTGGCCTCTGTCATGAGGCCAAAGTTGCTCTGGACGGAAGGTCACTCTGGTCCTGCCCCAGAGAGCTTGAAGGCAAACCCCAAAGGCATCGGCCTGACTCCAGTAATTTAAGTGTGTCCTGGACAAAGCTCATTTCCAGAATGACATTCTGGATGCCGGTTTATTTTGTTGTTGTTATTCTTGTTTTTGTTTTGTTTTTGAGGCAGGGCAGGGTCTCACTCTGACACCCAGGCTGGAATACAGTGGTACGATGTAACTCACTGCAGCCTCAACCTCCTGGACTCAAGAGATCCTCCCATCTCAGCCTCCTGAGTAGCTGGGACTATAGGCACACACCACCATGCCTGGATAATTTTTTAATTTTTATTTTTGTAGAGATGAGGTCTTACTGTGTTGCCCAGGCTGGATTCCAGCTCCTAGACTGAATGGATCCTCCCTCCTCAGCCTCCCAAAATGCTGGGATTACAGGCATGCGACACCACACCTGGCCTGCTCTTTTTTACACATACCTTCTTGATTGATACCTGTCAATAAAACTGGGATAAATGTTTTACAAGAAGAGGACCATCGGGGGTGACCCAGTCCCACTGCCTTCCCACTGTCCTCAGCATGGTAATTTAGTAACATATTTGCTATCTACTGCTATGTAACAAATTATCCCAAAATTTAAGTAGATAAAACAACAAAGATTTATTATCTCACCCAGTTTCTGTAGCTCAGGAATTTGGGGGTGACTTAGTTTGGTTCCAGGTCTCCTGTGAGGTGCATCAAGATGTCGGCTGGGGCTGCCTCCGTGGGAGCCAGAAGGCCCCTCCCAGATGCCTCCCCCACGTGACTGTTGGCTGGAGGCTTCAGTTTCACACCACACGGCCAGCCTCTCCTCACAACATGGCAGTTGGCTTTCCCCACACCAAGTGATCTAAGGGAGAGCAAAGAATAAGCCACCTGTCTTTGGTGACTCAGCCTGGGAAGCTGCATTCCGTCATTTCTGCAGTGTCTTGCTGGCTGCACACATCAGCCCCGTTTGGGGTGGAAGGAGCTACCTGAGGACGGAAACACTGGAGGAGGGCTCATGCGGCCATCTTGCAGGCTGGCTACCGCATGGCCACAGGTGGCCTGTGATAAACACCAGGGGTTAGCCACTCTGCTATGTTCTTTACACATATCATCTTATTTAACCCTTACAATAACTCTGTAGATAAAATGGGAGGTTAAGTAACACTCAGGACCATCAGGCTAGTAGGTGGTAGAGACAGGTTCCAAACTCAGATGAGTGAGAATCCATCCGCTCTACTGCCAGCCTCCAACACGGCCCCTTCTGCCACAACTCTTCTCACAGTCTCTCCTGATCCCTCTCTCTGCTGGGCCTTTGCTCCTGGGCCCAGGGCGTTGCCTGTCCTCTGAGCTCTGCAGGGCCCATGCCCACAAGCACCCCTGCAGGTGGTTCCTATACCAAGCCACATTCACGGACGCCTCATTCTCCCCAAGCTCTTCAACAGATGCTGTCCAGTGGGTATTGGCCTTGGCCTCATCCAAGCTCCCGGGGTCCTTGGAGACACCTCCCTCCTCAACACCAAGCTCAGTGCAAGTTGACTGGCAACATTGGTGCGGCCTCGCTGACCTCTGTGGGTCTTTTTGTTACAGAGATGGTGTCATCTTTGCAGAAAGACGTGTTAGCAAGGACCGAGCAAGTTCAACAACTAAAAGAGGAGGTCAGTCAACTAAAAAGTCAGAACAAAGAGAAGGATCAGCAGCTGGAAGCCCTTGGCACTAGGGTGAGCACGACGTCGATGTCTTCTTGTTGCTGTCAGTGGAGGCAGCTAGAGCAAGCCACTGCATTCCCCCCGGGCCTGGCTTTAAACTGCTCCCTCTGCTCAGGCCGTGCAGAATGAGGCCAGCCAAGGCTTGGCGGACAGCAGCTGGGGCCAGGGGGCCAGCAGGCGAAGTGCCTCCCTAGAGTCCAAATCACGTGGCCGGTTCTTTGCAGCTTTTCAAAGAACCGCGTGCGTGTGGCTCAGAATAAGCAAGATGCAGATTCAATCCAGCTAACACTTTCCAACACCTATTATAAACGAGGGCAATCCCAGCCACAGACACACCTCTTAGCACATGTGGGTATTTCCTTGGCAAGGCTGAATGTTACAGCCCAACGGAATCTCAGTGTGTACAGATGACACAAGGGGCTCCCCCTCTGTCCCAGTCACCCCGGTTTGCACAATTACCTCCAAAGCGGATTGTTTGAGGGGCCAAGTGCAGTTATGCAGACTTTCCTCACTTCCCGGGGACATTAATGTGCGTTAGAATCCCTTTACGTGGATTGACCCTGGCAGGCAGGTTAAGAGCTTTTTAAATGTAATTTTGACTGTTTGCACATTTTGCCTTCATGCTCTGACTTTAGAATCCTAATCCTCTAGGGTACGATTTCCCAGTATTTGTGTGATTTGTCCGTTTCACTGAATCAAGGTAAAACCTGACAGCTTTCATCCCAGACAGCCAATGCTGAGATTTCTAGCAGCCACCCTGTCAATTAGCCAGGCCTGCACGGGTGCCAAGGCGACATTGACTTTGAGGGCCCAAGGACCAAGCAGCGGGGGTAACATCTGGCGCTAACCAGAGTGCCTAGCTTGGAGCCAGGGAAAGGCAGGATGTGAGTTTCGGGGTCAGACAGACCCGGGGCCAAGCCCAGAGCCAGCTTCTGTTGCAGCTGAATTGGCTTCCACGTCCTCATTAGTGAAAGGGGTTAACAAAGTCATTTTCTGAGAAGCAAGAGGTTGGTCTTTTGTTTGTTTGTTTTTGTTTGTTTGTTTTGAGTTGGAGTCTCACTCTGTTGCCCAGACTGGAGTGCAGTGGCTGCTCCCAGCCACCGCAGTCTCGACATACTGGGCTCTGGTGATCCTTCCACCTCAGCCTTCTGAGTAGCCGGAACCACAGGCGCGCGATACCACGCCCAGCTAACTTTTGATTTATTGTAGAGACGAGGTCTTGCCAAGTTGCACAGGCGGGTCTCAAACCCGCGGGCTCAGGCAATCCACTCACCTCAGCCTCCCAAAGCATAGGATTACAGGCTGATCCACCAAACCCGGCTGAGAGGTTGGTCATTACATGCACGTCCCCTCAGCACCTGATGAGCTACCGCGCCGGGGCCTCTGCCTCTCTTTCTCCCAAGCATGCTGACTTCCTGTATTAAATGTGTGATTGCTGCTGCTGCTGCTGCTGCTGCTGCTGCTGCTGCTGTGTGTGTGTGTGTGTGTGTGTGTGTGTGTGTGTGTGTGTGTGTGTGAAGGCATGGATTGCAGAGCTGATGCTAGGTGGGAGAAACGTGGGAACACAGCACCTGCTTGGCTGTTTTACCTCCTGAAGGGCATCTGGATTATTTTTGTCCCACATACCCTTCCCCCTTGACCTTGGAACAAGGTCTGCATTCTTCTCTGGCCATGCCTGCCGTTGGCACATGGGTACCTCCTGACTACAACAATATTCCTCATGTGAACATGGGAGATACTCGTCTCTCTCTATTTTTCAAATTACATATGTCATGTGTGTTAATTTTAGAATAACTAGTAGACAATACTAGAAAGCCAAATTAAAGAGAGAAGAATAATGCCACCCTACAAACTCAGTGTCAATATTTTGGTGCATATCTTCCAATTTTGCTTCTATTTATTATCTAGAAAAATATATATGTGGCATTTATAAAACAAATTTATACTCTGCACTTTTTAAACTTTAAATAGCTAGTTTTTAAAAAATTTTAAAATTAAATAAAAGTTTTAAAACTAGTTTTTCCACATTAATAAAAAGCTTTCTCCTTGGTCTTAAAAGCGATGTGATCGTCTCTGTGTGTACACAGTGCACTAACTAAGGCACACCCAGTCATCGGACACAGAGGTTTCCATTTTCCTCACTGTTGCTAACAACACTACAAGGAACAATCGTAGAATCGTAGATCCGCTGATCTGCCTGGTCACTGTCCTAAGGACACTTTCCTAAAGTGGGATTTCTGGGTCAAAAAGAGGCACAGCTTTCTGTCTGTAAGTCCCACTACCAAGCTGCCGCGTGAATGGCTGTTCCCTTCCGCTCCCACCCCAGGCAGTTGTGCCATGGAGAGCGGATTGCATAAGGCCGAGAGCTGCCCGAGCTCACCAGCGACCCCTCTGAGGGCCTCAGCACAGATGCTTCAACCCAGACTCCCCTAAGTGAGGTTCTTCCTATGGTTTAGTTGACTGGCTTCTGAAGATGAAATTAGATGCTTGATTCCTCAGACGTTGTGATGGGAGAACCAGGAATGACCATGGGGCCTTGTGTACCCATCAGACATGATGATTTTGCCTTTTGGGGTCCAGGTCTGTGACTGGATTGAAAACACAGGCGGGAAATGCTCTCAGGGGCTAACGTAGGGGCCTGGAACCCTCCAGACAACCCTCCCCCCTCCGGCCAATGTCGGCTTCCTCTTTGTCGTCCTTTTTCTCCACAGTGCTCAGCGCTAAAAGAAGAGTTAAAAAAGGAAGGTGGTCACAAGGAGCACAGGGAGGCCCAAGAGAAGGAGTTGACTCTCTGCAAAGCCGTGAGTGGCACTTCCCCTTCGTAGGTACCCCGAGACACGACTTTGACCTTCGGTTCCGGCAGGACCCTTGGCCCGTCCCAATTCTTGGTGTTAGAGTTTGGACAGGGTGAGGGTAGATGGATGGCGAGGTGAGGAGAGGGGAGGGGAGCAGCGGTATCAGTAACCCAGAGATCCGAGTAAATGCAAAGAATTGCAACACACAAAAAAGGGCAGCGAGACCTCATCTCTACAGTAAATAAAATAATCAGCCGGGCGTGGTGGCGCATGCCTGTAATTCCGGCTACTCGGAAGGCTGAGGCAGAAGGATCGCCGGAGCCCAGCAGGTCGAGGCTGTGTGGCCGGGAGCGGCCACTGCACTCCAGTCTGGGCGACAGAGTAAGACTCCGACTCAAAAAAAAAAGTAAATTAGAGAGAGAGAAGGGAGAAAGAAGATTCACCTCCCCAAGGTGGGGGAGGGGACCAAAGCCAGGAAGCGTGGTGATAGCCATAGCTCAAAGAGCACATGGCCACACCACTCTGGCAAGGCAATGGCCACTGGTTGCTTGTGGTTGAGTCCTTCTGACCATTCCCCTTGATGGGGGAAGATCATTAGGGTGATTGGGTGGTGGTCTGCTTCCATGTCGTCACAAAGGGACAGGCAAGTGCAGGTACTGATGATGTCAGGTGATGGACAGCAGGCAGATGGGTGGGTTAGTCACATGATTACTGCCATGGTGGGGCTTATCTGTGACAGGTAGGTCACAAAGGACTGATTAGATTAACCCTGAGGTGGAGGGGGCAGATTCCTGCAAGAGACTTGTTAGACATTTGCAGTTCACAAACTCAGACATTTGCAACTCACAAATTCCTTGACCAAAGGTGGTCGTTTTATTGCTTTTATGACTTTGGCCAGCCAAAGGGTGACCTTTGATCTTCGGCCTTGACAAGGAACCTAAAAGTTTACTAGAGATTACAATGCTAAACCATGAATGGTTGGGCTGTCCTGGTCTTGCATCTGAAGGAGATTTGCAGAGGGGGCGGGAATAGGCTGCTGCTTGTTTTGCAGTAGAATGTCTGAATGCTTTCTAATGGTTATGCTGAGGCAAAAAGACTAAACCCTTTCACTCGGCTCATCATTAAGCACGAAGTTCTGGGGCTCTAAGTTTTTTTGTGTGTTTAAATATAGTCTCTTAATTCCTCCATTTGCTGCCTCTAACCCCAAGGAAGAGATGGGTGAAGACCGGGAAGATGTTCCTGAGATTCTCTAGGCAACTGGTTGTAGCTCCCTTGCGAGTGTTCCCTGGGGCTGGGCTGGGGTTGAGACAGCGACCAGGACAAAGGCTGGCCAGCTGATCACCACATGCTGCTAGAAGCCCACGCCAGTCCCGTCCCTGGACTGTGACTCCTAAACTTATGTTCCACTGTCACAAGTTTTATCATAGCCACAGCACTATTGTTGACACAAACTTCTTCCTTAAATGCTTTAAGTGCATCAATTTGACAGCAATTTGTAAAAACAAAACAAAAAGAAAGTGAAAGCAGGACCATGAAAGTCAGCAAGCGCCTGGCACGGCCCGAATCCCCCCACCACCTCCCCCCCACCAGACCTACGGCTCCCCTCCAAAAGCTAGTACCCCCTTACCCCTCTCTTCCCCCTCCCCCCCACCTCAAGTGGAAAAAAGGAGAAACATCCTCCTTCCATCCTTGCAACTGTGCCCCCTGGGTCTTCCAAACAGCCAGCCCCTATTTTGATTGATCTCAAAAACACACCCACAAGAAGAGCTCCTATGAGCTGATGCATGTCTTGCAGTGGTTAATCCAAGATGTGTGTCGATTTCCGAAAGAAACAAATTTCCTTTATCCAGCGCTTCTCATATATCCCTCCAAAAAAAGTCTCCTTTGCCTACAGATGTTGACCATCGCCCCAGGAGAGGGAATTAAACAGGCTCATCCCGGACGAGGCCTCTACCTAGTGAGCAGGATGAGAAGGTGGTGAGGGCTCCCACTGCCCGTCAGATAGGTAACTCCTCTGTTGTTGAAACTTTTTCAGCAAATCCAAGACATGGAGAGAGAAATGAAGAGGCTCAGGGAGGAACTGAGGAAGAGTTGTACGGAGCAGAGCGTACGGACTCTGCGGGAGAAGGGCAAGGTATGTGGGGCGAGGCCGACCTGGCCAGGTGACCACCCTGGGTCAGCCGTCTTCAGCATTGATCCTCACAGCAACCCCATGTGGTCAATGCTGGCATGAACCCTTCCTACAGTTCAAAAAACTGAGGCTCACCAAAGAAGTTACCCAAGTTCATGCAGATAGACTGAGGAGTGGCAGGACATGAACTTGGTTCATCCTGACTCCAGAGCTCCCATGAGTCTCCCACCAGTCTACTGCCTGCTGCATCTGTCTCTTGTTTATTGCCAGTGAGACCCGCACCCACCTCCAGATGGCGGGTTTGGTGTTGCTTAGTTATTTTAATGTCCTTTCCCGATACGGGAGACAAATCTTCAGTCACACACTCTAGGCCTGTGCTGTCCATCGCAGTAGCTGTTGGCCACATGTGGCTTTTTATTTTGTTGTTTTATTTTTTGAGTAGAGTCTCACTCCACTGCCCAGGTTGGAGTGCGGTGGCAGGCTCACAGCCACCGCAGCCTCGACCTGCTGGGCTCAGGTGATTCTTCCACCTCAGACTTCCAAGTAGCTGGAACTACAGGTGCACACCACCATGCCAGGATAATTTTTTGATTTATTGCAGAGACGAGGTCTTGCCAAGTTGCCCAGGCCGGTCTCAAACCTCTGGACTCAGACAATCCTCTCGCCTCCACCTCCCAAAGTGCTAAGATTACAGGCATGAGCCACCGCACCCAGCTCACATGTGGCTATTTAAATTAAAACTTCTTTTAAAAATCTAAATTAGATCAGGCACAGTGGCTCACACACCTGTAATTCCAGCACTTTGGGAGGCCAAGGTGGGAGGATTGCTTGAGCCCACGAGTGCATGACCAGCCCGGGCAACATAGCGAGACCTCATCTCTATAAGAAATATATATTTTTAAAAAATAAATGTAAATGAGTTAAAAGTAAATAAAACAAAATTCAGCTGCTCCAACCACATTCCAAGTGCTCAGCAGCCCCGTGTGGCCAGTGGCCGCTGTACTGCATTAGCACAGACAGAGAACGATCCATCAGCACAGAGCGTTCTGTTCTTTTAAACCAGTGGTGACCTGTTTGGGCAATGAAGGCAACCAATGGGTTGTATAAAATATGTTGATGGACCACCCATATTTAGAAATGTTTAAGTTGCAAGTATCTTTAAGACTTCTGAGCAGTGTGAGAGAATCTATATTCTTTCAACTCCAACCATATACTTCCTTTGATGAGAAGACTGTTGTCATCGAGAAAACTAATAGACTATTTTAGCCAGTGCTGGTGGCTCATACCTGTAATCCCAGCATTTTGGGAGGTGGAGGTGAGAGGAATGCCTGAGTCCAGGGATTCGAGAACAGCCTGGGCAATTTAGCAAGACCTCATTTCCACAATAAATCAAAAAAGCCCAGCATCTTGGCATGCGCCTGTGGTTCCAGCGGAAAGGCTGAAGCAGAAGGATCACCTGAGCCCAGCAGGTCAAGGCTGTGGTGGTTGTGAGCGTGCCACTGCACTCCAGCCTGGACAACAGAGTAAGACTCCTACTCAAAATAATAATAATAATAATAATAATAATAATAATATTTTAAGAGCAATTCTAAAAGGCAGGGGAATTCTATCCGAAGGAACTTTCTCAGGGATGATCTGTGAAATAAAAGCAAATAATCCAGAATCTTCTCCAATATTACTTACTATAAATGACAGAATAGTCACCAGAAGCTAAAACCATTGAAACCTCACAAGCTGAACTGTGTATTAGACAAGAAACCATCTGACAGATTGTATCTTGTCAATAGTACTGAAGCCTGCAAAAGTTGTCCAGACATGAGTAGGCTGGAATAATTAGCACAAAATTAAAACCAACAGTTAAAATCACGCAGAGTAAAATGTGTTAGCGACTAAAACTTGAGAGAAGAATCAAATATTCTTGAAAACGTTTAGCTAGGCAAAAAATAATCTGGGGAAAAAACAGACTAGGTAGGATTGAGGGCCATAAAATAAAACACTCAATGACAGAGCTATGATTGGCTAAAAAATGTGATAGGGACTAGAATAACTTACAGATGAATCAAATCGTAATTTACTCAGAAAAGAATTGATGCAGATAAAAAGACTTTCAGGCCAGGGGAGGGCAGGGGCAGGATTGGCAGTAGTGGGAAACTGCCAGGGGAGCGGGGGCACACCTCGTCAACAAGGGTACCTGCATAATGAACATTTGTATACCTGACTCTGAATTGTACTTCACATATTTGAAATAAAAAATTTTTTAAAATACTTTCTGGGGAATAAAAATGAAAATGGAAACAGTTGGAAATCGGTTAAACCATTGGCTCAGTAACTTCACTCTGGAAAATACCTTCTCAATGAAAATGAATTTAATTTGATATCTTTTTCTACAAAATATAGTTGTAGGCCTGAACATGGCCTATGAATTTTTCTCTAAGCAGGGCTGTTGCTGCATTCCACAAGTTTTAGTCTGTAGTATTTTCATTATTATTCAGATCAAAATATTTTTCAAATCCCATGATAATTTGTTATTTTACCCATGGGTGATTATGAAGTTATTTCTTAATTTCTAAATATATAAGGGTTTTCTGGTTACTTCTCTGTTGTTGATTTCTTGCTTAATTGCATTGTGGTCAGGGAACATCCTTCATAGGACTTCAACCCTGATATTAACTGAGACTTGTTTTATGCCCTGTGTGTAGTCAGTTGTGGTTCACATGAGCACTTGAAAAGAACATACACTCTGCAGTCATTGGAAGCAGTGTTCCAAATATGTCCATTCCACCAGGGTTGCTCGTGATGTTCGAAACTTAAATGTTCTCATTGATTTTTTTTTTTCTCTGAGTTGGAGTCTTACTCTGTTTCCCAGACTGGAGTGCAATGGCACGCTTACAGCCACCCCAGCATCCACCTGCTGGGCTCAAGTGATCCTTCTGCCTCAGCTTTCCAAGTAGCTGGAACTACAGGCATGCACTACCACGCCCGGCTAATTTTTTTTATTGTATTGTAGAGATGAGGTCTCGTCAAGTTGCCCAGGCTGTTCTGGAACCTGTGGGCTCAGGCAATCCACTCACCTCGATCTCCCAAAGTGCTGGAACTATAGGCTCGAACCACTGCGCCTGGCCTGATTTTTATTTTCTTTTGGTCTGTGTGTTTTGCCAGTCATTGAGGGAAGCATGTTGTTTAAAAATCCCATCATGACTGTGGATGTGTCTATTTCTTTTTTTAAAATATCATCCATTTTTGCTGTATATATGTTGAGGCTATGTTAGTAGTTGCATATAAATTTACAATTGTATTACTCCCTTGAGTCAAATCACAAGATGCTTCTCCTTGTTGCTAGAGGCATTTTTCCCTGAACACCTACCCTGTCATTAACTCTGTCAGCTACTCTGGCTTTCTTTTGATGAGAGTTTTCACTGACTGTCTTTTTTTCTCCATACTTTTTCTGTCTCTCTTTCTTTGTTTTAAGCATATATCTCTTGTTAACAGCCTTAGGTTTTGTGAAATCCAGTCTGACGATCTTTGTCTTTTAGTTCATTTATATGTAATATAATGGCTGATCTATTGGGGTTTAAAATTATCGTCTTGCTTAATATTAATTGTACCACCTGTGTTGTGTTCCTTTTTCTGTCTGTTCTTCTTTTGCATTGATATTTTCTTATCACCTCATTTTCCCCTATATTAACTTGGAAAACGTTTCACTCTTTTACCCTTTTAGTAACAGACAACAGCATGCATTCATGACCTTCTGAAATCCAGGGTTAATTGGTTTTTTTACTTTTACTTATTTTAGTAGATATCCTCAAGATTATACCTTGCACCTTCAGCTTATCAAAAAATCCAGTACTCATTGACAATTATACCTTCCTCCCTGAGGACACAATGACCTCAGATGTTGACACTTTAACTTCACTTACCCCATCTAGATTTAGAATCTGTTGTTTTCATTTTCTAAACTTCTCTCTCTATTTGAAACCCCAACGGACATTACTAGTATTTTTATACGGTTGACGTCTGTATTCACACCTCACCAGAGCACTCTGTCTGCATCTCTCCTCATCCACCTCGGATCGTTTTTCTTCTGTCCCAGGAACATCCTTTAGTGTTTTCCTTCTGCTGATGTCAAATCCCATCAGGGTATGTGTGTCTGAAAATATATTTAACCTCCATTCTTGAAACATATTTTGACTAAGTATTAAATTCTATACTAGCAATTATTTCCTTTTAGTACATGATAGATAGCATTAAGCATATCATTCTATCATCTTTCAGCTCCAATTTTTTTCTAAGTACAAATAAGCTATAAGCCTAACTATTGCACTGCTGTGTGATTCCCG